GGAAAAATGTGAAGTGCTCAGCGTGTCCCACTGGTGCTTCCTGCCCCAACTGCTACCGAGCCACCACAATCAGTGAGTTGAACTTGTTCTTCCTCCACTGTCTGTGTCTAAAGGGGCTCCAGAAGAGCTGGAAAGTAACCTTGGACAAAAGCCTGGAGTGACAGGACAAGAGAAAGTGGCTTCCAACGGTCAGAGGGTAGAATTAGATGGGATATTGGGAAGGAATTGTTCCCTGGCAGGGTGGGCAGGCCCTGGCACAGGGTGCCCAGAGCAGCTGTGGCTGCCCTGGATCCCTGAAAGTGTCCACGGTCAGGTTGGACAGGGCTTGGAGCAGCCTGGGACAGTGGAAGGCGTCCCTGCCCACAGCAGGGGGTGGCACTGGATGGGCTTTAAAGATTCTTTCCCACCTGAACCATTCCATGATCACACAGCACCTGAGCACTTGCTCTGCTCCCCCAGTGAAAGTGGGAAGAGCTCCCAAATACAGGAATCACCCACCCATCCCAGACACACCAATGATCCCTCTGCTCCCTGGCCACACTCACTTGAACTCCAGGCACTTGGTGATCTCCTTCTGCAGGTGCATCACCTCGTAGAGCAGGTTCTGGAGCTGCAGGTGATAAGCATCGACCTTCTGCTTTGCCTGAAACATGGCCAGAGCAGAGATGGAGCAGGAAAGACACCCTGAGTCACCAACACCCTGTCACTACAGCAGCTTGGGACAGCAGGTTTTAGGGTATGCAACAATTTTTTGGGCCAAGAATGACATTTTTAAGGACCGGAAAAGCAAAGGATTGTGGCATGACACTGATCCTGTTCCTTCCTGCACATTTCAAAGCCAAGGCACAGGACAGGGCTCATTTTCTGGGGCACACAGAATTCCCTCTCTGAGAACTCTGGGTATGGAGCTTCCAGGCCAATCGCCCACCCATGTATATACCTGCACAACACTAGACCCTTGAAACAGAGTTTCTGACCTCCCATTATACTTGAAACAAAAGCAGAGACTGCTCCTTCATTATTTATCAAATTGCAGCTGCCCTGGACTCAGCAGGAGTTCATCAGGCTCGGAGCCTCCCAACAAACCCTCAACTCTAACCCCAGGACCTGGCTGAGGTGCAACTGCTCACACCACGCACACAGAACACGCAGGACCTGCCTCATCTCTGACCCCCCCTAAATCCCAAGCTGCATTCCTCCCTCCCAGCCCCTCCTGGTACCTCGTGGGTCTGGTCCCTGCCTTTCTTCAGCCGGATGTGAGCCAGGCGGTTCAGCTTCTTCAGGGTCATGAAGTGGACACAGCTCTGGACACGCCGCTCGTCGATCTCTGAGGCCTGAGGAGCAGAAGAGAGGGGTTGGAAGCAGGAGGGATGGCTGCCACCATCTCTGCAGGGAATTCCTGCCACAAAAGGGGCTCCACGCTTTGCTATGGAGCCACATTTATGTCACTGGGGCTTCTGAGGGAGCCTCCTGCTGCCAGATCACAGGGAACTGCTGGGAATAACTGGGAGGGGGTCCAGGCTCCTCAAGAATCACTCCAGTCATTTTCCTCAGCAGTAGGAACAGAGATGGCTCAGCGTGAAGCACCTGATGGGTCACAGGAGCCTGGGACAAAGGGAGGCTATTCTATTTCCAGAGCTAAATCCCTGCCCCAGGAGGCCAAGACAAGGGAAACTGTTCCATTTCCAGATCTCAATTCCTGCCTCAGGAGCCTGGGACAAGGAAACCTGCTCCATTTCCAGGGACTCAATTCCTGCCCCAGAAGCCTGGGACAAGGAAAGCTGCTCCATTTCCCTGACTCTGCCCAAGAGACATCACAGCTCCTGCTGCCTTTCCTCTAGGATTAATGGGGAAACATCAAATGACAGACACGTTACACCACACATGGAGGTCTCTCCTCACATTTTCCTTGATGCCCCGGCTCTTCAGCTCCTGGATCTCTGCCATGAGCCTCTGGAGCTCCTGGCAGGTCTCCCTGTAGAGCTCATAGTCCTTGATGGGGTCACGCAGATCCACCTCGCTCTCCTCGCTGTAGTACCTGACATCCTGCCAAGGTAAAAACACCTCCCATGGCTCATCCTTCCTGCTGGAAAGGGCTCTGGGGGACAAGCTGCCATTTCTGGCTCTGCCCATGAATCCCATGGCTTAACACAGGGAGAGGACTCAGCTCCAGCAATCCCAAACCCACCAGTCACTAAAACACTTCGCAAGTTCGGGCTGTCTTTTATTGCTATAAATTTGAATTGTCACCGTTGGGGTGTCCTGTGCAGGGCCAGGAGTTGGACTGGAGGATCCTTGTGGATCCCTTCCTACTCAGGATATTCCATGATCCACATGATCACAGAGGACAAACCAGAAAGGTGATTCCTCCTCCTCCACCCCGCTCCCCACTCTGGCTGATCCTACACTATCCTGCTGCTCACGGGAGGGTTTGAAGGCACCATGCAAATCCCTGAGGGATCTTCCATCTTTGTGCTCACTCTCCAGAGGAGTGTTTGGGTCTCCTGAAAGAGATGGAAGCAGGTTTAGGAATTCACAGCAGGAGTTTAAGAGGCACTGGAAGCTGGGGGAAGTGGCTCCCACAATTCACGGAATTCCAGAATGGTTTGAGTGGGAAGGGACTTTAATGCCCATCCAGTCCCATGAGCAGGGACATCTGCCACTATCCCAGTCTTCTCCAGTCGCCATCCAACCTGGCTTTGGACGCTGCCAGGATGGGGCAGCCACAGCTTCTCTGGGCATTGTTTTCAAGCAGGGCAAGCCAGGCCAGCACAGAGGGGTGTGGGAGGGTCCCTGGGCAGGTCTGTACCTGGTCCGTGTCGCCCTTGCCCCGCTTGCCCTCGGCTGGGACCCCGTCTGTGCGGATCACCTTGGGCTTCCTCTTCTTGCTGGACTCAGAGGACATGGTGCTGCAGCAGGGCTGGGGAGAGGGCACGGGGGAGTCCGTGGGGGCCAACCCTGCCCGGACTGGGGCTCTCTCGGGCTCCCCCGCCAGCCTCGCCTGGGCTCTGGAGTGTCCCCTATGCCTCCCTCCATCCCGCACCTCCCACCCCTTCCCAGTCCCCCCAGACCGACTTTGAGCCCCAACAGCACAGCGGGCCCGGGATCTCTGCTCCACCAGAGCCCCCCGGAGCCCCCAGTGCCACTGAGTTCCCTTGGGACCCCGGGCCCGAGCCCTCAATCCCTCGGGGGCTCCACTGCCACTGATCCCCCCGACTCCAGCACACTGTGGCTTCTGCCCCACCAGAGCCCCCCACAAACCCACAGATCCGGGATTCTCTCTCCTCCACAGCACCCCTGATCCCCGCACATCGATCCCGCAGCGTCTGCTCCTCCGAGCCCCCCCAGACCCGGGACTCTCCACCTCTCCAGAGGCCCCAGAACCCAGCACATCTGGCCCAGAACCCTTCACTCCTTCAGAGCCCCCCCTAGACCCTCACGCCGGGGACTCTCAGCTCTTTCAGAGCCCTCCAGACCCCAGCACATCGGGCCTGAGGCCTCAGAGCTCCCCCAGATTCTCAGCACGGGGTCTTCGCCCCTCCAGACCAGGACCCTCCATTTCCACTGAGTCCCTAGCACACCGAGCCGTGGACCTTCCGCCCCTCCGGAGCCTCCCCATCCCAAGGGGCTCAGGGCCGCCCCTCCATCCCCCTCCCGGGGGTCCCGGTTCGCCCCCCGCACTCACTGCGCCCTCGCTCCGCTCCTCCCGGAAGTGACGTCAGGGAGCAGCAGAGAGCGGCGCGGAGCGACGGCGAGACGCTGCGAGTGCTACAGACGCCCCCTAGCGGTCCTGGCATCCTGGAGGACCCGCAAGGCGCGCTGGGGGAGCGGCTCCGAGGGGGGGCGTGGCTTTTCCCAAGGGGCGTGGCTTTTCCCAAGGGGCGTGGCCTCCGCCCCATTCACCAAAAAAACGCGGGGCAGGGGTGAGAAAGGGCAGCCCTGGGGTGAAACCTCCACACTGGGGGCAATGGTGGGGATCCTTGGGGCAGAAAGGCACCTACAGGAATAGGGGGAGCTTGGATAGGGGTCCCAGAAGCACTGATGGGTGTCCATGGGCTTGGGATGGGATCTCCAATGGCACTAGGGTATCCACTGGTTGGGAGGGGGCATGAGATGGGATCCCTTATGGCGCTGGGGGTATCCATGGGCTTAGGATAGGATCCCCAATAGGGTGAGGGGCACACAGGAGCTTGGGAGTGGCACAGGATGGAGTCATCAATGATGGTGGGAGGATCCATGGGCTTTGGGGGGCCTTGGGATGGGGTCCCTAATGGCACTGGGGAGATCTGTGGGCTCAAAAAGGCATGGGAAGAGGTCCACAATGGCACTGGGAGCATCCAAGGAGGGTTGTGAGATGGTGTCCACTTCAGCACTGGGGGGTTTCAGGGGTTTCAGGCTTGGGGAGGCCTTGGGAGGCCTTGGGATGAGGTCCCAAATGGCCCAGGGGGTATCCATGGGCTGGGTTGGGCCTTGGCTTGGAGTGCCCGGTGGTACTGGGTGTATCTGTGAGCTTGAGGGGAGCGTGGGATGGGATCCCTGATGGCACTTGAGGATATCCATGGGTTTGGCAAGGGGTCCCCAGTGGCACTGGGGGTACACTAGGGTTTTGGGGGAGTCCCTCAGTGTATCATAGCACCCATGGTTGGAGGTCCTTTGGTGCAGGAAGCACCCACAATGTAGGGCAGAGCAGCCCCTTGCATGACACCAGCTTAGGGGGGGGTCACACCAAGCACCCCCAGTACCACCCTCCCCACCCTGAGAGGGGCCCAGGTTTTAGCATATTAAATATTTAATTGGCAGCAAAGGCACCCGCTGGGCTCATCAGGAGCAATTAAGCCCCCCCCACCTCCACAGCCGGCTCAGCCACCCCAGCAGCACCATCCTGGGGACTCACCACAGGATGGGGGGCTCCCACCTTCCCTTCCCTGCTCTCAATCCCCCAGGGCGCCCCAAAATGGGATGGGGGAGAGAGCTGGGAGCCAGGGAGAGCAGAACCTCTCCCAGCAGGGTCAGGGCACAGGCAGGGAGCCCCTGGGGGTGCAGGGAGACCCCCCCAGCAGGGCCCCCCCAATCACTGCAGGGGGGAGATCTTCAGGGGAATCATTATCCGAGATTCCATGGTCCGGATCAGCGGGACTGGGGAAGGAAAGGAGAGACAGGTGAGGACAGGGAGCTCCCAGCACGGGCAGGGGGTCACCAAAGCAGGTGGGAGTCCCCTCACCAGTGTAATAAACGTTCTCATCCCAGCCCCTCTTTCTCCAGGCTGCATTCCTTGTCTCCTCCCGGGACTGCAGATCCCTGTAGGCTGTGGGGAGAGGATGGGGCTGGCACCCTGAGCCCCCCAGCCCAGTCTCCAGGCCGGGGGTCCCCCAGGGATGACAGCCCTTACCCCAAAGGTGATGCACCACGTAGAGCTCCCCGATCTGGGAGAAGAACCCCCCGACTGCCTCCTGGTTCTCCTGGCGGTACTTGATGGCCCGAGCCCTGCAGGAAGCAGGGGACACATGGGGGGCCTGCCCCAGGGGTCTCCCCTTCTCCAGAGGGAGCTTTTCCCACCTTGGATCCCTCCATGCTGGGAAACCAGTGGCTTACCAGTTGTTGCCCCACTCGATCATGGTGCCTGGCTGGAAACAGGGGAAGAAAATCAGTCAGAAGCCTCTTGCTCACTCAGCTTGGGGTCTCCTCATCCAGGAAGGAGGAATTTGGGAGACTGCCCCCCAAAACCTGGGGCATACCAGCCTGAAGGCCCCCTCTGAGGCACAGGCTGATCCCCACCTTCAGCTTGTAGGTCCTCAGCTCGTAGATGTTTGGTCCCTGGCGGGGCTGGGGCTCATTCCAGAAGCTGAATTCCAGGAGCAGCTGGTTCCTGCGGGACAGCAGCATCCGGCTCCTCTCCTTGCGGAAGTCCAGGTACTCCTGGGGACAGCCCCAGCCGGGGGGTTCGAGGTGGGGGCCATGTGGCCCGGGGGTGTGGGGTACAGGGGTCTCGCCCACCCCAGTGGTACCTTGTTCTGCCTGAGCTTGCTCATGCAGTCCATGAGCGCGGGGTACCCGCCCGAGAAGCGCCACAGGTGCACTGCAAAGAGGGTTTTGGGGTGGGAAGAGGAGCAGCACCCCAAAATCCCACCAAAATCTCCGCCTTTGGCAGCAGAGACACCAGGAGCCACTGCCTGCCCTCACCTGCCTGGTCCTGCTCGCCATACCACGTGTTCCAGTTGCCCACCAGGTCACAGGGGTAGTCAGGGTCCGAGTGGAGCTTGGGCAGCACCTCCTCTCTGTGGAGACAGAGAAGGGGGCAGTGGGGTGGGGGCAGCACCCCAAAACCCTCCCAGTGCCCCTCTTTGCCCTCTCCGTGCTTGCCCAAACAAGCGCAGCCTGGGAGATGCATCCATTTCACAGGGAGGGAAACTGAGGCACGGAACAGGGACACAGATCCGCCCAGGAGCTCCAGGAGCTCTGCACAAGCCCTCCTACCCCTCTCACTCCAGAACAGCATCCCAACATCCCACTGGGATGCTGGGAAGCCCCCTCAGTGTGCTCACGTCAGCTTGTTGTAGGCTTCCAGGCATTCCGGCTTCACATTGTGAACTGCAGGGACAGGAGAGAGGGGCTGGGAAGGGGGGAAGGAAGGGGAAGGATCCGGGAATAGGGGTCCCGATGAGTGAGGGGTGCACCCCATCCGTGTCTGCCTTCTTTCCAGCAGGAGCACTCACACTGGATCTTGTAGAGGTTGCTGGTCTCCTTCTTGGAGAGGAGGTTGGAATGTGCATCCTTGCGTGGATCCACCTTGTGCACGAAGAGGGAACGGAACCAGCTGCCCTCGGCATCCCTGGAGTACCCCCTGCAGGACAGCGGGGCAGGGAGACACCGGGAATGACCGGCTGGATGGCAAATCGGGATCCAGAGGCCTTACTGCCAGTCCTGTGGGCAGCTGCCTCCATTGTCCGGCTTCCAGGGAGCCCCAGGGCTTCATCGGCTTCTGCTCAGTTCATACTGGGAGCCCTGTCCCAGTTCTGGGGTGGGTCTGTCCCCAGTTCCAGTCTGTCCCCCTGAATCCAGAGGGGTTTTGGCCATGCTGCCCAACAGAGCAAGGACACTGGTGTAGGGGTGTGGGACAAGGGGGTCAAGCCCCCATGAAAGCCCGCTCAGCCCCAATGGCCACTCCAGCGACAGTGACCCCTCCATGGGAGGGACAAGGGGACATGGGGCAATGGGGACATCCCCCCACACGATCCCCTTTACACAGGGGCTGCTCCAGTGCTGGTGATGCTTCCACGGGCAAGGGGACATGGGGCAATGGGAGCAGCCCCCCAGCCTGTCCGCTGAGGTTCCCTATCAGCCCCAGGGGTGGCTCCGGGGCCCCGGAGAAGGTCGGGTTTCCCCCCGGGCAGTGGTGGGGGAGGAACGGGGCCCTTCAGCGCCAGGTCCGAGCTGCGGCCAGACCTTTGTCCCCAGCGAGGCAACGACCGTGGGGCCACTCCGGGGGCCGCCCGCCAGGTCAGGGGGGGGCGCGGGGTCTGGGCAGGGCTCAGGGGGCTCGGGGATGGGGGGTGCGGGGTCCGGGGAGGGCTCGGGGGCGGGGGGTGTGGGGTCCCCGCCCGAGGGGATGCGGGGAGCGGGGGAGAATGTGGGGTTCGGAGGGGATGAGGGGTCCAGGGGAGTACCAGGGGAGTACCAGGGTAGCGGGGTGCCGGTGTCCCCACCCGGGGAGATGCAGGGTCCGAGGTCCGGGAAGGATGCGCGGTCCAGGGGGGAGGATCAGGAAGCCCAGGGGAGCAGGGAACGGGGGTCCCCTTCCAGGGCGATGCGGGGAGCGGCGGAATGCGGGGTCAAGGGTGGGGATCAGGGGTCTCAGAAGAGGGGATACGAGTATCCCGGCCCGGGGGGATGCGGGGTCCGGGGGTGATGCGTGGTCCAGGGGGAAATGGGAGGGCTCAGCGGAGCGGGGTGCGGGTGATGCGAAGAGCGGGGAAGATCTGGGCCTCGAGGGCTCAGAGGTGGGGTCTCCACCCGGGGGGATGCGGGGTCTAGGGGACCTGCAAGGCCCAGGGAGGAGGATGCGGGTGTACCCGCCGAGGGAGATGCGGGGAACGGGGCGGACGCAGAGCCCGGGGGAGGATGAGGGATGCGGAGATGCCGCGGGGGCTGTCAGGAGGGGATGAGACCCCCCTCATCCAGGGGTCCCCGCCCGGGCGCCCCCACTCACCGCGCGCCCCGCGGGGCCGCGCCCGCGCCCCCGCCCCGCAGCCGCCGCAGCGCCGCGCTCCCGCCGCGCGCTCCCGCCGCCATCTTCCGCACCGGGGCGGGGCCGCGCGCGGCGCGTGCCCATCGGACCCCGCCCCTTCGGCCCGGCCCCGCCCCCTCAGAAGCTGGCCTGCAGCAGCGTGATTCTGATTGGCCGCCCGGCCGCACCTTCGCGCGCCCAGCCACGCCCACCCGCCCCCGCCCGACGCCGCGACGCCTCATTGGATGCGGGTGAGGGGGCCGTGCCCACGGGCTCGGCGGCGCTCGGTAGCCAATCAGAAGAGGCGACTGGAGAGGCCGGTGGCTGATTGGTCCCGATGTCTCGCTCCGGCGGGGGCTGCGGCGCAGCTCCAGGGAGGCGGGGCTTCCTCGGGCTCCGCCCTGCGGAGGGAGGGGTCAGGATGGGCGTGGGCACTCTGCCTGGGGGCGTGGCCGGGGCGTGGCCGGGTCTGTCTCACCTGCAGGTGGGGGTTCGGGGCATTCCCGCGGTCCCCCCGGCGTGTCCCCGGCCCTGGGGGAACATCCCCGCGCCGGGGGCTCCTCCTGGCCTTGGGGAACCTGAGGGAGGGCACAGGGAGCGCTGCTGCAGACGGACCCGCGACGTGCCTCAGACCCCCCTCTGCCCATCGTTCCCTTCTGCTCACAGCCCCTCTCTGCTCCATTAGCCCTTTTCTCTGTATCAGTCCCCCCACTAGACCCATAGCCCCCACTCTGCCCCATAGTTCCTCCTGCCCCAGAGCCTCCCCATTTTACCCCATAACCCCCTCCCACCTCTGAGCCCCCTTCTCTGCCCCGTAACCCTCCTCACCACACAGATGTGCACCACAATCACCCCAGTACTTGCCCTCCTCATATTTCCCCCTATACAGTGGTAGTTCCAATTCCTCCCCCCACTTCCCCCCCAGATCTCACCTCCCTGCGGGGCAGTGGAGGGACCGGAGGGCAGCAAGGAGGGTGCACGGGTGGGTCCCCGACCCCCTCACCTGGGGAGTGCGTGGGCAATGGGGGAGAGGAAGGATCCGCACCCCGAGGTTCCTGGAGTGTCTGCTGGGAGAGGGAACGGGGGGAGCTGAGAAGGGGCAAGAAAACAGGAGTTAAAGGGTTAACTGCCCCCAAGATCCTGCCAAACGCTCCGTGACCCCCACAAACCCTCTGTGACTCCCTCCCCAAAATCTTCGACCTCCTTCTGCCCCCTGGGATCCCCCAAACCCTTCGAAACCCGGGCCTTCACTGTGCCCCCCCCATGGACCCCGGCCCCCCGGTGCCCCCACTCACCCGGGAAGGGGCGATGCCCCCCGGCGCAGGGCACAGACCCAGGCGTGCAGCTCTTCGGGGGTCTCAGCCCCCAGACAGTACGTCCGCATCCCGGGATGTTCAGCCTGGGAATAGGGGATCCTTGGTAGGCGGGACTCAGGTGTCCGGGTCCCGTCCCCCTCACCCAGGGCACACCCGGATGCGGGGACCCAGGGAAGCAGGGCTGACCGTGAAGAGGAACTGGGGGGCTCGGGGGGCGGGGGGCAGGATGCGGATCTCGTAGCCGGGCAGGGGGAGGCCGCCCCGCACTTGCTGCTCGCTGCTGTCTGGGGGGACAGACGAAGGTCACAATGGGGGGCATCAGAGCCCTCATCTGCACCCCGAGATCTCCAGTACCATCAGAGACTTCCTCTGAGTCTCATTGATGCCCCCAAACCTCTCGGGGTCCCCCATGATTTTAGAACCCCACCAAGGATCTCTTCAAGCCCCCAGGGACCTCCAGTGTCCCAGGAACCCCTGATCCTGCCAGAAGCCCTGATCCACCCAGAGACCCCCGATCCCCAGGAATTCCCAATGCTCCAGAAAGCCCCAATCCCCGAGGGATCTCTGACTACCCCAAATGCCCCAGAGATCCTTGATCGCACTGGGACCCCTGATTGCCCCAGGGACCTCCCAGTCCGCCAGGATTCTTGGTCCTCCAAGGACTGCCCGACACCCCAGGACCTCTGAGCCCCCCGGGAACCCCAAATGACCCAGAGACACCCCGGGATCGCTGACCCCCTAGGCACCAGGTCACCCAGCCCCCTTACCCCCAGGTCCCCACGCCCTCTGGATGTCTCCAGACCCCCCTGCCCCCCCTCACCCCGGTAGTAGTAGAGGCAGAGATCCACCAGTACAAACCAGCGGCGCTTCCAGAGCCGCAGCCCCGAGCTGTCCTGACAAGTGGAGGGGGGGATGGGGGCTGAGCCCCCTCAGCCCATCCCCCCACGGGACCTTCTGCTGCCCCAGATCCCTCAATCCCTTCCGATCCCCCCAAGCTCCTCACCCCCAAGGGCTCCCTGCCATGCCAGACCCCCAAACCCCGTAACGCCCCGGCACCCTCTTCCATCCCCGACCCCATAACTGCCCCACACTGCCCGGTCCGACCAAGTGTGGTTGATCTCCCCAAACCCCCCAAATCCCATAACTCTCCCTCACCACCCATTGATCCCCCCCCAACTCCCTCTGATTTCCCCTCCCAGCACCATATCCACCCCCATGACCCCCTGACACTCCAGACCCTCCCAGCTCTGTAAACTCTTCAGCTCCTCCCCACTGCCCCAGGTCCCCTCAAAACCCACAAACGCCCTAGAATCCCGCATCTCAAACCCCATACAGCCCCTGAACCCCCCTCCCCAGCCCTTCCCGCGCCCCCCGTCTCACCTGCTTGTGCAACCAGCCCTGCATGGCGGGGGGGGTGCGGGTGTCCCTCCGCAGCGCCAGCTTCCCCTTTCCAAAGGCATGGACCCTCGGCACGGACCGGCAGGGCTGGGCAGGGGGGTCACCCATGGCAAGGGGCCAAGGAAGAGCTCCCTCAGCACCCCTACACCCCTCCAGGCCGCCAGGATGTCTACAGCCCTCCTATCCAAATTTATCTTTGTACCCTACAACGCCCCCCCAGCTGCCTAGAGCGGCCCTCTTTTGCCCCATAAGTCTCTATGGAGTCTTGGGCTCCCCCGTACACCCCAATGCTCTACATGCCACCCTCGGGTGCACAGGGTCCCCCAAACACCTCCCCCAACCCTACAAACTCCATATCCCCCCCCCCGTGGTTCCCCAGTTTCCCCCCTCATGTCTCCCACCCCCTTCGCCCACCTGGGTGCCGGGGCCAGCGGGGGCGGGGTCCCGGCGGGCGGGGTCGTCGCTTTCTGCCATGGGGGGTCCTGCGGGGGCAGCGGGGGGCCGGGGGGTCTCCGTCAATGTCCCCATTGTCCCAGCGAGGACAGAGGCCCCGTTCTTCCCGCTGCGGGGGCGGGGGCCGCTCCCGGACGCCTGGGTCCCCCTGGGGGTGTCGGGGGGGCTTCTCGGCTCCCGCTGGTCCCTTCCCCCTCCTGCTCCTGCCTAATTCAGGTCCGCCCCGTCCCCCTGTGCTGGTCCCAGTTTCTGTCCCAGTAACCCTGAACTGGTCTCAGTTCCCATCCCAGTAACCCCGAACTGGTCCCAGTTCCTGTCCCGTTACTCCATGCTGATCCCAGTTCTTGTCTCGTTATCCCCGTGAAGGTCCCAGTTTCCGTCCCAATCTCCCTCAACCCCTCCGTCCTCATTCCCACCCCGTAATCCCCGTGCTGGTCCCAATTCCCGTCGTGGTAACCCTGAGCTAACCCCAGTCCTTCCCGTCACCCCGTGCTGGACTCGGTTTCCGTCCCAGTAACTCTGAGCGGGTCCCAGTTTCTGTTTCGTTCACCCGTGCTCGTTCCAGTTCCCAGCCCGTTATCCCACCCCGATCGAGGTCGCGGTCCCGTTCTCTTGCCCTGGTGACGGGTCCCAGCCACTGTCCCATCATCCCAGTGACGGTCCCAGTTCCATTACCTCAGCTGGGTCTGCTCCCAGCCCGGTCCCGTGTCCCGGTATCGGTGCCAGTCCCGTCCCGCTGCCCCGCGCTGATCCCAGTCCCAGTTCCAGTCCCAGTCCTGCCCCGTGTCCCCGCCCGCCCCGGGCGCTGGTCCCAGTCTCTGCCCCCACACGAGCTCGGACACCCGGGTCCCTCAGGGTCTCCTCACCCCGGCAACCACCGAGGGGGCAGCGCCCCGTGTCCCGCGTCACCCGGGGGAGCCCGTCCTGCGGGGACACCCAGGGCACTGGGGACACCCGTGACACGGGGTCACCCCACGGCAGCGGGCACACCTGAAACCCCACACATCTCAGGGATCTCTGACACCCCAAGGACCCTTATACCCCACGGACTCTGCACACCCCGGACAGCCCCAGATCCCTGACACCCCACGGACTCCTGAGACTACACGGACCCCGATTCCCCGCCCGGAGACATCCCGCCGACCCTCCAGAGAGCCCGGACTCCCCACGCACAGCCCAGAGACGCCAGACATCCCCGGATCCCGGATGCTCGGCGGACTTCTGACACCTCACAGATCCCTGACACCCTCCCGTGTCCCCGTGTCCCCGTGTCCCCGTGTCCCCGTGTCCCCCACACCGGTGCCCGCCCCCTCCCACACTCGCACCTGCAGTGCGCTCCGCCCACCGCCAGAGGGCGACACCATCACGCATCATCGCTTCCTGACAGTCACTTAATGTCCCCGCCCCACCCCGCCCCTTCCCGTTGAGTGGCGTCCTCTCTATCCAATCACAGCCGCCTTTGCTCCCGCCTCTCCAGCACAGCCCTTTCTATTGGCTGCGGGGCGCGGCGGGGCCGGGCGCACCGAGCGGCTCAGCCAATGGCGAGCCGGGGGGGCGGGGCCAGGCCGCCATGGCGCCGCCGCCGCGCTGACCGCGCCGCGCCGCCATGGCCGGGGCCATCGCGTCCCGTATGAGCTTCAGCTCCCTCAAGCGCAAGCAGCCCAAGACCTTCACCGTGCGCATCGCCACCATGGACGCCGAGATGGAGTTCAGCTGCGAGGTGACGGCCCGCGCGGGGCGCGGGGGTCCCGCTGAGGGGGGACGGGCCCCTCCAAACACCCCCAGACCCCCTGAGGGGCCCGGACCCCTCTCCCGGTCCCGCCGCTTCCCGGGGCCTGCTCTGGGCCAGCAGCGGCACAGCCTTGTTTTGGTTATAAATCAGCCTTATCCTGGTGTGCTTAGGTGTGATTTTGGTTATTATTATTGCACATTATTCTGATTATAATTCGGCTTTTCTTTGGTTGTAATTCACCTTTACTTTGGTTATGAATCGGTGTCATTTGGCTTTACTTTGGTCATAACTTGGCTTTGCTTTGGTTGTAATTCAGTGTTATTGTGTGTGTTATTCGGTTGTATCCTGGTTATAGTTTGGCTGTATTTTGGTTATAATTAATCTCTATTATGTGTGTAGTTCAGCATTGTTTTGGTCATAAATTGGCTTTTTTTTCTGGGTATAATTTGGCTTTATCCTGGATATAATTTGGCATTATTCTGGTTTTAATTCATTTTATACTTTGGTTATAATTCAGCTTTATTCTGGCAATAATTCATCTTCACTCCAGGTGTGATTTAGCTTTATTTGGGTTATAATTTGGCTTAATTCCAGTTATAATTCGTTCTCATTCTGGCTACAATTTGGCGTTATTGTGGTTATAATTCATCCTATACTTTGGCTACAATTCAGCTTCATTCTGGGTATAATTCAGTTTTATCCTGGTTATAATTCAGCTTTATTCTCATTACAATCCAGTTTCATTTGGGCTCTAATCCAGTGCTATCCTGCCATCCCAACCCAAGCCACCACTACACTGTGGCTGTCACAGGGCTTGAGGAATCTCAGTGTCAAGGCTTGAATCCATAGGAATCCAACTCCCAAGTGCTCCACAAACATCCGAAGACAGAATTTTGGCATTTTCCTGAGCTCTTAGCTCACTGTGAGGATGAGGGATGCTCCAGGGGGTTGGGCCTGGCTTTTCTGTGATAATTTCCCTTTTTGGGGCCCTTGGAACTTGTAAAATGTTCTCCCAGGGCGTTGCTGCCAAACCCTGGGATCTGCTTTGCTTTTTCAGCTGAGCCAGAGGGGTTGGCCACACAAACATTGAAATCCCACTCCAAACTCCTCATTTAATAGTTTTTATTTCATTAGCCTGCCCCAAACCCTGACAGAATCCCCACTGCCGATCAGCCAAGTGGCGTTTGCCATCACTGATTTCCTTGCTTTGGAAATCTCCTCTCAGCTCTGAAGAATTTCCTTCTTTTCCTAGGGATTAAGGATTGCTTTAGGCAGCTGTGTGAGCTTCCCACTTCCAGCCGAGTGTGAGTGTCCCAGCTCTGTTTTTCCTGGTTTCCCGAGGCTGCGGCAATAACTGATGATGGAAAGTAAATAATTGTTAATTTCCGTGGTGTGGTCGGGTGTCATTTTCCGCTGGGATCGGGGTGGGGAGGGGGTGTTTGTACAGTGATGAGGCAGCACTCCTGTGGGATTTGGCTGTGGAACTGATGCATCTCCAGCTGACTTTTCTGGGAGGTTCCTGCCAAAAGAACTTGTTGCTGCAGAGAGATTTCTGCAGCTGGGAGGAGCTCGGGAGCTGTGAGGGCTCCTGGGTCATTTTGGAGCTGGTGCTGGGGGGATGCAAAGGGAATTCAGGCCTCATCCTTAAGCATGGAACATTGGAGCAGGAGGGGGGGATGGATGGTCGGATGGAGGTGAGTGATGGGGCTGTTTCACACCTTGCAGGTGTGAGTGAGTTTTCATGGAGTCATGGAATGGGTTGGGTGGGAAGGAACCTTAAAGCTCATCCTGTGCCACCATCTGCCATGGCCAGGGACACCTTCCACTATCCCAGGTGGCTCCAAGCCCTGTCCAGCCTGGCCTTGGACACTTCCAGGGATCCAGAGGCAGCCACAGCTGCTCTGGGCACCCTGTGCCAGGGCCTCAGTACTCTCACAGCCAGGAATTCCTCACCACTATCCCCTCTAACCCTGCTCTTTGGCAGTGGAAGCCATTCCCTGTGTCCTGTCCCTCCATCCCTTGTCCCCAGTCCCTCCCCAGCTCTCCTGGAGCCCCTTTAGGCCCTGGAAGGGGCTCTGAGCTCTCCCTGGATCCTTCTCCTCTCCAGGAGAGCACCCCCAGCTCTCCCAGCCTGGCTCCAGCCCTTGGAGAATCTCCATGATCTCCTGGGCTTGCTCCAAGCCCAGGGCAGCCCAGCTCGAGGTGTGAGTTTTATCCAGGCTCCATCTGAGCAGTCCAGGTCCCAGGATCTGTGTCCCTGTTTTTGTGTGGCACTTGGGAGTCTCTGGGAAAAGCTCCTTGTTTTGCTGAGTCTGCAGGAACATCTGGACAGAGGGATCAGACACGCCTCGAGCTGCTGGGGTTGGGAAGGTGGCCCAGGGAAGGGCTTGGCTTGCTCTACACCCACAGTGAGACTTGGAGCCAGGAGTGGACTTTGTGCCCTCCTGAGAGTCGATTTTTGGGAAAGACTCTGCTCCTCTCTGACGGAATCCGGCCCCTGTGCCGAGGTTTGCCGGGGGAAGAGCGAGCAGCACTGTTTACCCAGCTGTCTGTGTGCTTTGAGGTGTCTTTGGCCAGGAAGGAGAGCTGCTGACCCCAGCAGGAGGCTGGGAGAGGGAAATCTGCCTCACCGACACTTGAGAGGATCAGTGGAAAGAGCTGCAGTGGGAATCCTGCGGTTTGGGGACTCTTTAGATGTATTTTTGTGGCCTGTGACACCTCATGCTGACAGGGACAGAGAGCTGCTGATCTGTTGGATGTCTGGAGTTGGTCTTCCATGATCCCTGGGGGTTCCTCCCAGCTCAGGATATTCCATGATTCCATGACCCAGCCGTAGCTGCTGGAGACTTGCCTTCTTTCTCAGTGCTAATTTTTCAGTCTGCTCCCTAGAAATCCCCAGCTGTGCATTTTAAGGGATTAAACCTGCTTTGCATCTGTTTAGTCTGCAGTTGATGTCTCTAAATTGAGTCTAAATCTAAAATAATTCCTAGAAATGAAATCTTAATCTTTCTAACACGGTGATGGAGATTAATAATCACGATTGGGGTTTCACTTTAAAGACTTAAATTTTTTGGGGGGCAATCTTGGAGGCACAAAGCGAGTATCTTCCTTTTATTACTTCCATCTTGGAGGTTTGAGCTGTACCTAATTAATTGATAACATCTGGAGGAAGGGTAGGCATTTGCATAGCTCTTGAATCCCTGTGCTAAAGCAACCCCAGCTGCCTCACCTTCCTGAGAACCTTGGATAGCCATGTGGGAGCCTCTTCCCTGGGAGGGTGCTGAGGCCCTGGCACAGGGTGCCCAGAGAAGCTGTGGCTGCCCCTGGATCCCTGAAGTGTCCAAGGTCAGGTTGGACAGGACTTGGAGCCACTGGGATACTGGAAAATATCCCTGTCTGTGGCGGGGAGGTGGAACAAGATCGACTTTCAGGTCCCTTCCAAACCCAAACCATTCTGTGAGTTATTCAATAATGAAAACTCCATGGTATTTTTGAGTCTACATCCAAAGCACTGTGTATCCCACATCTCTGGTGGGATGGCAAAGGTGAGGTGCAGCTTTTCCCTTTCAGAACCAAGTTCCCTGGCTGATGGGAGAACCCCTCCATCTTTCCTTTGGCCTCGTGGGTGTCTTTGGCAATTTCTCCCTCTTGCAGTGCTCTGCTTCGTTAGTGTCTCTCCATCTCAGAGCCACAGCTTGCTTTCCAAAGGGTGTTTTCCTCTTTCTGTTGTGTTTGTGATCTTGGACTTGAATCCTGCAGGGATGGTCACTCCATCAAGGTACAGATCACTGCCCAGCTGCTTCCCAACCTTAGTCCTTTGGCATCTTAAAAATGAATGGGAAAGCTTTACAGCCAGCCTGGAGAAACAGTTTGAGTGTTCAAGCAGCAAGAAGAGGCAAGTTCATGCTGGTGTGTTTGCTGGTCTCAACATGCATCCTGTTACTGCTTCAGTGCTTAAGCTGTTCCTCTCTGTCCAGAGGATAATCCTGGTTGGAAGGGATCTTTATTTTAGCCCCGTGCCCCACTCGGTGCAGAGCCAGTTGGATGAGGTTGGATGTAAAGCCCTTGTAAGTAGAAGAGTCCTGATTTTGGCCACGTGCAGCCGAGTGCTGTCCCTTTGTCACCAGACACGGGGACTTGTGTAGCTGAGCTGCAAAGCTCATCCTCTGGAACAGGAACAGCCGAGGATTTGGTGGTGGAAATCTGGGTGGAAATGAGTTTTTGAGGAAGAGCTGGTGCAGTAAATCCGAGCTGAGTTTTGAGCTATGTCCAGTCACTGCACCAAAATAAAAAGGCAGGAGGAGGAAATCAGGGAGCAGAATGTGCTTGGCTTCCTTCTGCATTGCAGGATACTTGGAATGGGGTTTATAAAGATCCATACATTCCCAATTTCAGGCAGCAGGGTGCTGGTAGGGACAGTGACCTCTTGATGCTGCAAAGCTTCTGTGAGTAGACACAAGCTTAACAGGAAAAGACCAGTCTGTGTGTAGGAACAGCTGTTTAAAAAAGCTGAGAGAAATAATCCCCCTCAGCTACAACATGATCCCCAATAAATTTTTGGGATACCAGCTATCAAGTCGATGCTTGGTTCCTCCATGTGTCTTGATCTTGTGCCAGCACTCAGGAGTGTGTGCTGCTCTCTTTGAATCTGAGACTCAGCAGGTAAGGGCAATTTCCTCTTTCATGTCTTGGAGGCATTTATGCCCTGAAACCTCAGAATTTCTGATTCACACCAGTGACGTTTGGGAGTTGGTATTTTAGAAGTGTCTTGCTTGGTGCAGTTCATTTCCCTGAGTTGTGCTTGTGGATCCTCTTTGGCTTTGGTGCCTCACCCTGCACCTGAAAAGTTCTCTGGATCCCCTTCTCCTGTCACAGCCTCTTCCAAGCCAGTTGGAAACTCCTGTTACTTCTCTCCAAAGACTGTTCAAAACTGCTGTCAATCCCCAGACTGTTAATTAATCCAGAGATGTGTTGATGCAGAGGAGAAG